TATAATAATGCTGGCTGAAGTCCTATTGCCAATCCTGACAGTATGGGGCCTGCCAGTCAGAAAGTCCAGGAGCCAGTCACAGAGGGTGGGGTGCAGACCTAGTGTGGACAGTTTGTGGGTGAGTTTGTGGGGAACAACTGTGTTGAAGGCGAAGCTGTAGTCAATGAAGAGTATCCTGATGTAGGAGTCTCTATTTTCCAGGTGAAAAAGGGAATAGTGGAGGGCAGCTGCGATGGTGTCTGAGGTGGCCCTATTGGGCCGGTAGGCATACTGCAGGGGATCCAGGGTGTCCAGTATACTGCTCTGAATGCGGGCCAGCACCACTCTCTCAAAACACTTCATAATGATTGGGGTGAGTGCCACTGGCCTGTAGGAAGGTGACTGGGCTCTTCTTGGGAAGGGGTACGATGGTTGTGGTCTTAAAGCAAGAGGGAATGATGCTCTGACTGAGGGAGAGGTTGACCTCACTCCAGCCATCACCAAGATAGTGGTGAGAACATCAGCCAGCTCGCTGGCACATGCCCTGGGAGCCCTCCCTGGGATGTTGTCCAGTCCTGCTGCTTTGCGGGGGTCGATCTTCCTCAGGACTGTGCGTACCTGGCCTGGTGAGACAGTTAGTGGAGGGGAGGTGGGGGGGTTGGGTGGTCCAGGTGTGAAAACAGGTTTCTACAAAGTGATGTCAATTAAATAAAAATATATAATGGGAAATAATTGATTGCATAAATATTCACCCCTTTAAAATGACTGACCTAATTCAACAAAGATCCAGCCAACTGGTGCTAGTAGTCTCTCACAATTAGTGAAATGGGGATTACCAGAGTGCAGTAAATATGTCTCAAGTCATTGTAGTATAAAGAGACTCGTGTCTGGAAGGTCCAGTCCCTGGTTAATCAGTCTCTGCCATGGGTTGTTGCTAGTTATATGATCCTCTAGTTTCCTCATATAGTCCTCTTTGGCTGCCTTAATGCCCCTTCTCAACTCAGCCCTTGTCACGCTGTACCAGGCCCCGTCTCCAGACCTGAAGACAGGGTCGTGTGCTTTCAGAAGAGACTGAACCTCACCAGTCATCCAAGGTTTACGGTTGGGATACACTCGGATGCATTTGTTAACAGTCACATTATCAGTGCAACATTTGATATAGAACAAAACAGTTTCAGTATATTTTTCTAGGTCCTGGTGTTGCAATATAGACCATTCTGTGTATGCAAAACAATCCTGGAGTGCTCCCTCTGGCCAGTTTTTTATAGTCTTAATGACTGGCTTGGTTTGCCTCCTGAACAGGATGTATGCTGGTAAGAGGAGCAGTGAGAGGTGGTCTGAAAGGCCCAAGTGTGGGAGAGAAACTGTAACTGAAACAGTAGAACACAGCTTATAACACAGGAAAAATCCCACTGACTGGGCTTCATATGCAGGTCATGCTAACTCATTAAAACATCCATCACACCACATTTATCCAGATTTACTGAGACTGCAGTCATTGCATAATTCTCTGCACCCATGGCACTATAAATAATCTAGAGAGGGGAAGCTGTCATTTTTTTTCTTAAAGCTGCATTAAATGATCTTACCACTAGAGGGAGACTAATTTAAAGACAAAATCACAGCACTAACACCTAAAAGTTGTGACAGTGCAGTGATGAGCAAAACAGCATTGTTTTTGTGCTCAAATACCTAAAACAACCTACTGTATTTGCCAACATGTACAGTATGAGATGTCCTTAAAGTGCTCAGGGAAAAAGAGAACATTTACAATTCAGTGAATCTGGGTAAACTCCATCTGCATATGACATGACAGAAATTCAGAACAGCTATTTACGATTGAACAGGGAGAAGGTGTAAACTCCTGCAGATTTTAACCAGAACCTTACTGCAGGTGAAACTTCTTACCAATGTGCCACCAAAGACAAGCTTGATTTCCAACATAATATGCAACAGTTTGTTTTTTTATGTGTAAACTGCATGTATGAATGTTCTATATATGAGTATAACCAGTATTATATCTCATTCTTAACAGTGTATGTGTTGTGCACCATTTTTTATATTGTAAATTTAGGTAAATTGCTTTTATGTGAAGACAGAAGTGCAACATAGTGTCTGTCCAAGGCTGTTCTGTGTAGTTAGATGCAGAAGATGGCACATTTTTGACCACACACATTGTGAGCAATGAGCCACTGCTACAATGATGGGCAGTGATGGGCCATGACTTAGCCTATAGCCATCACCCGTCCATTATTTATACTGCTAATTCCTGAATAGGATTGTGGGGGACACAGCCAATCCCAGCTGACAGGGAGGTGGGGGGGGGTCCACCCTGGACAGGTCACCAGTCTATCACAGGGCTGACATGCAGATACTAACCACACATACATTCACACTCACACCTAGGGGCAATTTAGAGTTGCCACAGTCCAAAGCTGTATGTGGGAGGAAGCCAAAGTACCCGGAGAAAACTCAACACAGAAAGGCCCCAGGTCGGCCCGGAACCTTCTTGCTGTGAGGCAACCACACTCACCACTTGAGCTAATTATACCTACTATATATGCTTATAATTTGAGTTATGTGGGGGATAATTTCTGATTTTCCCACCAGGCTCAATAAAGTCAGATTATTATACTGTATTTTCTATGGTTAATCTGATTCTGTTTGTCTTTTATTCTCATGGAGCTCTCAAGCAGGTTTCCCAGCACCTCTTTCAGTTACAGAATCATTGAAAACCTGTGGATCGATTTGAAGGGGCCTGTAAATAGCAGAAAGCCAAATAACTGGGTAGACTTGGAACAAGTAGGACATGAGGACTGGGCTTTTAACAGCATTTTTCACCATCCAGGACAATATAAAACATGTCGCTCCCTTTATGTTAAAGCAGCATTTTTGAAGCATCATCTTGTGTTTTACTGCACTAAGTCTGAATGGCCACTTAGGTGTTTGCGTATGGCAGAGCGGTCTGTGTGAAGGACATTATGTGTGCTTATCTGCATACCTAGAAAGCAGAATCATAGATAGAGAGTGCTCAGGACAGTCTTTGCTCTTTGCTGTGGAGACCTTTTGCTTTCTGAATTCACTGAGCCTCAGAGGACTAAGTCACACATGTGCAAGTCTCAAGTCAAAACAAAGTCTCAAGCAAGTCCCAAGTTAATGTGGTGAGAATCAAGCAAATCAACTCATGTCCCTACTATACGTAAGTGAAGCAAGTCAGTCAAGTCATACAGAATTCTGATGATCTACCCCAGTTTCCACATTTAAATCAGATAAAGACAGTGATCACAAAAGGTTTTTATTTTAATCATTAACAAAAAGTTGCTTACACCTTATAAATCTTACTAATATTTGACATGTTGTGGCAATTAATAATAAGCTTCCTATATGAATATCAGTGGTGAGTGGGGCTCTGAAATTGCAATATAGTCCTATAGTTCTAATATCTGAAAACATAATGTAGCTTTAGGGCAACGAGACACTTGGCAGGGGTGGTGGTAGCCCCTATTATGAAGTAGTGGCCCGAGTAGAGATCTGGTGTGCTGACATTTTATATTTTCCAAAGTTTGTAAGCATTTTTGACCCAATACTAGAAAACAGTGTTTTTCTAGCATTGTTGTTTTGCCTCGGGATGCTGCAGTGTCGCTTGAAGTCCTGACATCAGGGTCAGGGATTTGCAGTCTAAACTGGAAGGGATAGGGACCTGAAGAGCACTCATGAGTCCTGGCATGGGACATCTGGATTACACACTCAATCAAGATATCCACCATGAACATCCAGACCGGCCTGCAAAGACATCAGGAGCTGTGTATTAAGTGGGGGATTCTGTCAGTTCATTCTTTAGTTTTCTTTACTTCCTGGTTTACATTGTGTTGTCCTCGTATCATTCCAGACCAGCCCCTCCTGGCAGTATAACTTTGCTGTCTTTCCCATACCTGGTGTTTGCTCCTACCCTGCTGTACCCATACTGCCTGCTTTTTGTTAAAGTCATCAGGCCTGTTAGCATAAAGGACAGTTGTCCAGCCAGTTTACATTAGCAAAATTACTTGAAACCCTGGTTTATTTGGTGTCTCCAGTCTGCTCTAGAGAATTTTTGTTAGTGTGTTGAACCACCTTTGTTGTTTCTGTGCAATTAAAGAGCAACCTGCAAGGAAATCTCTCTGTTTGGTTTGCATTTGGGTCTATTTTCTAAAACCTCCCATTCTGTGCTTTTTCCTAAATTGCCTTCTGGACCACTGGGCTTTATATTTTATGAATTCTCCTTCTGTCTTACAGTATCATTACCAAGTTTTTTTTAGCTCTGGAGTCCAGTACAGCTTTCTTGTCTATCCATTATCTGATGTGTGCCTTTTCAAATTGAAGTGAATTGAATCGTATCACAGAATAGTCCACAATAATCCATAATCCAATTAAAGATAGTTTTCTCACAGTCTACACAAACAAATAAGTCTAGAATTACTCAGGTTTTTCTTCCTGAAACAATCTGCCAATCTGAAGGATAAATATTTGGTTAACACTGATTTAGAGTAAATGTAATTTATCACTCTGGATACGATAACGTGAGCTGTTTTAGAATGATCCAGGGTAAATGAAATGCTGTACCTCAGGATAAGCAGGTGAAATGTTTTGGCTTCTTACCTCTTATCTTAATGCCCTGAAAGTGGACATCAAACATGAAAGAGCCTGCCCAAAGGTGTGTGTTCTTTTATGTTTAATTTCCAAAAAATAGTGTACTGTGGTGCTCAATTAGACTGAACAGAGTGTGGTAGTGTAGGTTGGAACCAGTCTGGAGAATTATATTCCCTTATTAAAAGGTGTGCAGCTTGTGAGCTCTAATATATATTCCTGTGATTATTTTCATGAGCAGTTACCTCCCATTATGTTTAAGGTGCCATGTGGGGAAATGGAGGTTGTGAGTGACTTCATAATAAACAAATTTTGAGCTTGATTATTTGTTACTTTATAGTATTTTGAGTAAAACACAAAGTAAACTTGTAATTTTGTTTAAATCAAGTATTTCAATATTTTATTGCATCGGTAGGAAAATGCTCACAGTCCTCAGAGCAACAATAAAAAAAAAAGTGGTGTATCACTAAAACAATAATTAAAAATAAAAACCTACAGCTTTGCCATCCTCTCTTCCTGGCCCTGTGTAGTGTTCACTCTGTTTTTCATTCTATTAGGTTCTAGAAAATAAAACAACCAGAGATTATTTGCAGTCTGTATCAAAGCAATTATAAAAATAAAAACCTTTAAACTCCAAATCTTTAAAATTTGCAGTCATCTTTTCAAATTCTACATAAAATCATAAAAAGCAGCAAGTCCAAGCTCAGATGTTTATGTATTGTACTGTATTGCATACCCTATACACATGCCTATGACCTCTGCTGTATCGAATAGAACAATTTGTTTGGTGCAAATGTTGGTGGGTGATGCAACATCTGTTGTATAAATTGCTGCATAGTCATGCTTGACATGTTCACAGGTAACATGCAGAAACATAAATATACAGATAGAAGTGGTCATCAACTAAAAACCCACTTTGGATTAAAAACAGTGACATGAATATTTATACGTAACACAAAAAGAGAAATACCACTGAAAAGAGAAGGAAGACTTACTTTTGATCTTTGAAAAGTTTCATCTCACTTATTGAAATTTGTTATACTACACATTCAAACGGAAAAGAAAAACATTCTGCTCGAAACCCAAGTCTTTTTTGCTTCATAGTCAATGTACACAGTTTGGACAGTACGTCACAGGAACAAAGCTAACAAGTATCTGTACAGTCAGTCTAGGATGGAGTCAGTTCTCAAGTACATTTACACATTAATCAGAATAGAGACAGTACACTGCCAGACTAGAAAGACCATTCACCAGTGAATAGTGGACATTTCATAGAGGAAAATCATGCTGTCAGATCCAAATGTGGGCTATATCTTTTTTTTAGAAGTAGCCCAGAACAAGATTTATTTAACTGTTATAAGGGAAACCTGCTGGTCTGTGAAAGTGGGAACAAACCATGGCAGGCATTCATTTCCTTGACCCTCTGGGTTGTGGTGTATTTGAACATTATCAGGAATCAGTGCTTGGCTTTCAATCTCATTTTAGGTTAGGATCAGAGCTACAGTCTGAGCAGAAAGTAGACCTCAGGCTCTGATGCTGAGTGGGAAGAGTCTGCAGGCGGAAGAGAGTCGTCAGTATAGTACTGATCTACGTAATGATCCCCATTTCCATAACGTAATGATGTGCAGGCTCCTTCAGGAAGTCCCCTGTCCTCCAGCTGACCAAGATAGCCTGCTATGTAAGACCCAGTAGAGTGTCTGTTAACCGGGGGATTCTGTGAGGCTGGTTTATTCCTCAGTACCACCCCACCGGTGCTGGTGGTACTGTTGATCACCACACCTGCCCGAGGCTTTAGAGCCTCTTGCTGTCTTTCACGGGCTCGGCTGTTGATGTGGCGCACTCGGCTTTGGCTCCGAGAAGATAGGCGACGGGTAAGGAGTGGAGGGGAATCATCTGTATCTCTTGGGACCACAGGAGCTTTACTTGTTGCCTGTTGCTGTGACAGTAGTGGTTTAGATTCCTGATGTAACTGAGGAGACTGGGGGCTCTCAGTATCATCCCCTTCCAGACTGACCAGCTTACGCAGCTGTTCTGTAAGTGGATCACAGGACTGTGATTGGAAAGTTGCTTCCCCAGTGGTGCCCATCCTCTTTTGCTTCCTCATGTGAGGAGTGATGAAGCTGCGACTAATAATATGGTATTTGCTCTGGAAGTTGCATGATATGTCTTCAGAGGTCAGGTCTCCCAGGGACTTGGACTTGCATGGGCTGGGGGCTATTGAGTCATTGTTAGCGGACGAGAACTGAGTTGATAAAGGCCCCAAGTCTGAGTGCAGTGCAACTCTGGTTTCAGTCTGTGACTGGTGCCTGGTATTGATGAGGGAAACCTTTTGGTTCCATGACTGTTTCAGGGTATGTGAGTCTATCTGACTTTGGCTGGGTGACTGAGAATTTTGAGGGACTGAAGACGCTGATGAGGGAGTAATGCAGTCAGAGAGAAGGCGGCTGTCCATTGTATCACAATCTGACGAAGGGGAATATAGGTCTCTGTCTCTACAGATGTTTACAGACACTGCAGATTGACTGGGGAGGCTTTCAGAAGAGGGGAAACCATTATGAAAATACACCACTTGCTCCCTCTCCATATATTTATACCCTAGCCTGTCTTGATGAGACCTGTTTGAGATCTGGCTGCCACTATAGTTCCTCTGTTGTGTGTATGAACTGCCAACATCTCTGCAGTTGTTAAGGACCTTAAAATTGCTCTGAGGAGCAGGGTAGCTGTTCTGACGTAGTGGACTAGAGTTGACAGGTCTGTGGAGTGGTGAAAGTTGGGAGTTGTGCTGGTATTGGTGATGACTGGACAGGTGATATGAAGATTGACTGACTGAGGAGGGACACTGTGAAAATGCAATATGAGATGCAAGTGAGGTGTATTGCTGTTGAGGATCACGGCATGATGAAAGCTGTTTTAGCTGAGGGTAGTTGGGAGTGGATTCATGGTTTTGGTATATAGCCTGGCATTTGGTTGGACTAAGCACCTCCCACTGGCTGCCATGTCTTGGTGAGGTCAGTATCATATCCAATGGAACCTCATCAACATTTTCAGAGAGAAACTGGAAATAGCTGTTGTTAACAGAGGAGCTCATGTACCTTTTAGATGTTTCCTGTTCTCTCTCAGCTACTGGTGCTGGAGGATCATACACTTCCTCATACACACCTTCCTCTGCTTCCTCTATTTCTAAACCTCCAACCCTTTTTCTTTGCATATCATCCCAGCCAACATTATGACTCTTCCCTAAATCTTGAACCACCTTTGCTGGAGAGTACAGCAAGCTGTTTGAGGGAGTACTCTCGATAGTGTCTGCCCGAACATGGACCATCTGTTTCCTCAGGTTGTACACTGATACAGGCAACAGCACCTCCTCATCTAGAATGGTGTATACCTCCTCAAGTTCAGCAGTTTCTGGGCTGGAGAGGAGGGCTGGAGCAGGTGCAGCTGCCTGGGAAATTTTGCATGGTGAATGCTTGTTATGATTTACATGATTTGCTTTCTGAGCTACCTGTTGGAAATCTATCAAGTGTTTGTTGTTAGGAAATGCTGTGTTGGTCTTGAGAGGAGACCTTAAATCTTGCAGTGCTTTAAGGCTGGTAGGCCTGACGTTTGAGTGACAGGAGGAAGTGTGATCATGAGATAATGTTGTAAAATCATTTTGGTCAACTGTACTTTCAAACTGACCAATGAGAGCAGATATAGAGTCATGTGTGTCTTGCTCATTGCCTAAGGACACAGCATCAATGAGTCTGGAGATGGTGCTATCATGCAAAGAGCTGGGACTCCTCAGATCACTGTCCGTGCTGACAGGAGAAAGGGGGGGCATAGAGCAGGGGGCAGAGGAAGAGGAGGTGGAGGAAGAGGAGACTGAGGGGGCAACTGTGAATGTTGTGCTGTTTGAAAATGTTTCAGGTTTATCTGATCTCATCTGGCTGTTCTTGGATGGCGAGGCCAAACAGTTTTTCTCGGTTTCTACGGAGATTATCTTTGATTGGTTGACTCCACTGTCTTCTGTTTTCTGGTAATTGGCATAGTCTTCTTCCTTTCTTACTTGTCCTTCACCAATGACCAGGTAAGAGGCCTCTTCTGATTGGGCAAATTCTTTATTTTTGTATGTCTTAGACAATGATGATTCCATGAGCAGGTCCACAGAGGAAGACCTGGGTATGTTGAGGGGGTAGGCTCCTGTGGATACATGTAACAAAAAGATTCATGAAGACAGGCTTATGTAATACCATTTCATGTTGAACACCAAGCCAACCAGCAGTAAAATGACAACAATTAACAGTCCAGCCAATATAAGGCAACAGCGATACACAGACAAATGGTTCACCAAGTACAACTGTGAAGGGGAAGCTGAAAATGAGGCTGTGGAGGTTAAAAAAGGAAGAATCCATGTTTGGGAAGATCATATCAAAAATGGGATCAAATGACACAGCAATATATTTCTCAGACCACTTTGAACGAAATACACTGGATGGATGCAATACTGTATGTTATTGAACAATGCAACCTTCAGGCAATAGGGGTTTTAGATTACCTGCTGGAATATCCTAGTCAGTTCTCTACTATAAAGAAGCACAACAAATGAAGATGGGACAGAGAAGGCATGTCATGGCGGTTAGGTTGTACTGTCAGTTCACAGGGTTAATGTACATGTGCTTCAGATAACTGTAGCACGATAGGTAAGGCAAAGGAGAGACATAAGAAGAAATGCACATCTTACTTTAATCAAAGAGCTAAGCATTTGAGGCAAAATGCTCCTTTAAGGCATGTCAACTGCAAGCATTTTATTTCAAAACATCAACACCTATCTCATACATTTTAAAGAAAGTACATGTTCCCAAGGCTGATAATTACTGTTATTGATGTTACAGATTGCTGGGGCTTGGTTTATGTTAGAATTAAATAATGATCTTGCACGTTTATATGTTAATTAAACTAAAATTAATGTAACTTGGGTGTAATTAGCATAATTCCATAATCTATCTAGAAGAAACCACCCACCAGTGACAATATCTGCATCCATATCATGCTGCTCCTTGTCTGGGGAGCAGAGAGATAGCTGCCCTTGAAGGAGTCTGTCTAAGGGCATGGAGACAGGTCTGTGAATGAGGGGGCCTCGGGGCTGAAGACGCTTCTCTGCCCCTCTGTCTTTCTCTGACACGCCCTCTTCTCCTGATGCTGCACCTGTGCAGGTCTTTTGGTCTGATATCGACGCCACTGACTCTGATAGCGCCATCTTGGTCTTCTTCCGTCCCTTTGCTGGAGCGCTGGCTGTGCGCCGCAGGAGATGGTCACTAATAGAGCGTTTTCGAAGGCCATTGGAGTTTGTGTCTACTGAAGACTTGGAAGAACGGTTAAACAAACCCCGGATACCTCGCAAGTGGTGACCCTGAGGGCAGAGGTTAACAAAACAGAAAGGAAGTAAGAAGGGAAAAGACATTTGGCAAAGGGAAGAGGAAATGTGCTTCTGAGGAATTATCAACCATGTACTTCTGACACAGACTGAACACGCCATATGACACATTACAATTTGAAGATAAAGGGTTAATTTTCATGAAAACAATGAAAAGATGTGATGTATTGAACTTAACAAATATAACAATTGCATGCGTTTTTATACATGGCCTCTAGATGGCATCCTTACTCCACAACACAATGTGCAAGAAGCCATTATGTATGCATGCTCACACTGCAAATAACTCCAACTTTGTTGACAATGACAGAACACCAGTTGACAAAAAAAGATTTATGAATAAAAACTGACCTTATAAGTAAAATGTTTGACTCAGTGGTTTCATGTCACACACACAAGTCAATGAACATACAGCTGTACACAAACTTCACTTCTGTACCATGCATTACTGTTTCATGCAGCACTGCACAGGGCATCCGGATACCTTGTTGGATCCTAGAAAGTGCATTATGGTAAAACTGGGGTTCAGGACTAGTGGGATCCACTAGAAAAACAAAGGATTGAAGGAGCATAGCTTCAGTGGATTGTTTTGTTGACAGAAGTGCATTTTTTCCATTTACCTCTGAAATATTATGTCAGTTGACAGAAGAGGCTTATGGGGTTTGCTACAATAAACACCAGGACTATACAGCACTTACCTTGCCATAGACATCATGCACTGACACATGCACAAAAATGGAAGCCTCAGTCAGCCCCTCCAGGTAAACATGTCTGTAACCTGTTGTTGGACATGAAGGGAGAAAGCATGAGAGTGAATTAAAGAAAGATACCAGCTGTCATCACATTGTTGATCAGTGGAGGGTGGAGAGGGCATTAGGAGTTCAGGGACAACTCTGATGAATGTGGACAATTAAAATAACATACCAAGCCACAGGTAACCACTATGCATAGCAAAAGAATCATGGTTCACTAGACACAAGACAATGTGCCCCACAGCCATGGCATTGCTAAAGCAATTAATGAAATTTTCTGTTTAAGTGTGTGTGTGTGTGTGTGTGAGAGAATCAGTCTATTTGTATTAAACAGCACAACTATAATAATTCTAAGTAGCAGTGACACGCCATGTCCCCTCTTAAGTTCATATAATTCACATACAAAAGTATAAAAAAAATCTAAACCTGAAAACACTGAGAAATTCTTTACAAACCAGGCATTAGGCTGTTAAAGGCAACTGTCCGTTGACCAATAAAGTCCCGTCCAATAGGGTCATGGTCCCAGACAAGGAAGCGCACCAAAGCCACCTCAGCCATGTGAAGTGTAAAGGACAGAGTCTCCTCCCATACTGGATTAAAACCTGTATAAAACACACATGTGCCCATTATAATTAGGATCTGTTTCATCAGCCAGTCAGTGATGTATTTCAAGGATCAGTGCCCTACACACTGATCTTACTGTTGAGCTCTCAGGGCTCCATAACCTTTCCAGAGGAGGCTTTTCCCTTCCCCCTGCCAGGTGCCCTCATCCGTGGGAACATGTTAGGGGTGATACCTGCAAACCCCTCTGTTCTGCTTTCTTATCCCTCTAAATAATTAATCAGACAGTGCTCCATGGCCAAAGTAAAATCTCTGGTTATGGCATTGTTTCATCTGTGGAGGTGAGATGACATCGGGTTGCATTTGCTTTTGTTTGTGTGCCATAAATACACTATTCTCTATAGCATGTATATCATACTATAGATAACAGCGTGCATGTTACACTTTTCAGAGGATAAAATGGAAATCGCAAAAAAAGTGATAAGTATCACAGTAAAAAGTAAGGTATTAGTCAGATAAATGCTAAAATTGAATCAGTCTGATTTAATCTACAGTACTACAGCTTCTTTGGTCTAAACTATTCAACTCACCAACAGAAACTAAAGTGTAAATTGCAGCAGCTAAGAGCCATAGAAAGGCAGGATGCTAAATCAAAGAATTATCAATATATTTTTTTGAATTAAAACAATTTTTTTAGCATCTAGCTATTCTGAGTGAAGACATGTTAAACATTCTTTCTTGGTGCAGTGAGTGTATTGTTCAGGTTGATCTGTGTGTGTATGTCTAACCGTTGTCATCAACAACCCGTGTCTGTTCCTTGCAGCAATCAACTGGCAGGCCGATGATCTCCACTTCAACAAATGGATCAATAATCTGAGAAAAGAGAAAGGACAGTAAAATGACTAATATTTTATGATGCAGCATATATTTCTCCAAAGGGCAGAGTCAACCTCTCTGAGTTTAATATTGCATGTGTGTATGCATTTGTATGTGTGAGAGAGAGAGAGTACAGAGAAGGTTAAAAAGACAGATGGAGAATGTGAGCACGCAGTGCATGTGTTTTGGTGGGTGTGTGCTACCTCTCCGCGGTCCCCGAGCATGGAGTCTGGTGGTTTGGGCAAATGCTGTCCACTAATAATCTTGAGAATGAGCTGCTTTTTGGGGTAAGCTGGAAGTGGGTCATCACTGAATGGGTTAAAGGAGCCTGGAGTGAATCGAGACAGCAGAGCAAGAACATTGATTCCTTTCTGATTGTCATAAAATGGGCAAGAGTAAAAATATCATATTCTCATTTCTGTAACTGACTAGATTATGTTGACTTGTGCAGCTACAGTTACATCTAAGCACACATTTTGTAACCACACATGCAGAGAGCCTGTGAAAATCAACCAGGCCTCTGCTTCATTGTGCAGCTAACTGCCTAGTCAGGCAACTGGTATTAAAACAGACAACAATGTGGCAATTTTATAGAGTAATAGGGATGCATTTTCATAAAATCATTTGGTAGTCAAACTCACAATACTTGTGAATTTGAAGTGAATAATGGAGAAGTCAAAGAGAGCAAACAGTCACGCTGAATTACAGGAAAATGTACAGTGTATAACAAGATGTGTACCAATAAAACATATCTTGCTCCTTAGGGTCAATAGATAAAGTAGATAGAAAATATATTGTATATGCATTTTTAATTCTAATTAGAAATCAAGACTTAAAGAGGATTAGAATTAGAATTATTATAATTAACCTGGTAAGGAGTTTTTTAGCAATATATTATAATATAACAATATCACATATTACATTCTGAAACAATCCTGAACATTTTATTTCATGGTGATGATCACATCTTGTTATGTGATGTATTTCTTATATTTAAAGTCAACTGGAAATGTATTAACACTCCAACATGTTTCCGTTCCTACGACAACACGGTGCTGTTCCTGAATATACAACTAATTATTAGGGATTGACAAATAAACACTGCTCATGTACATCGGTTTTTATTTGCATGGACACAAACTGAAACGTATGCACAAGTCTGTGCTTGTTTGTGTGCATGCATTGGTTACCTTTACACATAGGAGGGGGCTTGAGGACGTAGCCAATACCTCCGTTCACCTTGAACTTGGCTCTGTTGAGCTGCATCATCCTCCCCTCTGTCTGATAGTTCAGAGCGACTGAAAGAAAAAATAACACTTTTATTTTGTTACTAAATGCCACCAAACCTCGTTCAGATACATAAACTGTGAAAACTACTGAGGAGGTTCAGTAGTCATATGAAGAGACTGATTCATTCATACATTTATATGAAGCCTGTGCATCTACACAACATTGAAAGTTTTATTAGGAAAACAGGTGAAGAAGGACACAAGCAACCGATGACAGAACTTTCTTCTCTCATGTAACAGTTTCTCTTTTTGTATACCTGGAATATGTTACTTTAAAGTAAATGGAGAAAAAACTGATTTAGCAGGGACAGGAAGGGCTTCCCTTAATTTCCTGATGCTGTTCATTCTGCTTTCATCTTTTTTTTTGTATTTCTTAGTAATCCTCACAAAATCCATTTCTGACCATAACCCTAGAAATGTACTTGCAGACACTGACTCACACAAAACATGCAAATACATAGAGTAGTGCACACTATTGTACCTTGAATGACTGAGTTAGTTTGCACACTCCTACCCATTAGCCTCTGCCCACATACTGTATGATGTGATTTGTGTACATTGAGTGAGTGATGAGCAGGCCACAGATAAAGTCTGTCTGTATGTGGCATGCACTGTTAATTCATGTGTAATAACAGCTGCAGTATGCGGCTAAAAGGAAGACATCTGGTGTTTTTGTTAACATACACCCTCCATGCAGGTCAACAGCTAAAAGTGACAGACAGCTCTCTTACCCAGCTGACAGCCCACGTTCCAGTAGAACTGGGGGTTGAAATTGGACGAGTCGATACGATAGGCTGAGGGATAAATCCGTGACAGCTGCCTCTGGTTAAAAGCCAGGAACTGTTCGGATCTGTGATGGACCAGAGACTGGGCTCTGGTCTCGCTGAATGACAGGACATCACCTGGAGTACCTGCAGAGTAACATGGGTTAGTCACTGGAAAACATATAGATGGCAATGTGCATGTTTGCTTGTGTGCGCATGTATCAGCAGGTATCAGATCACCTTCATTCAGACACTCCTGGGAGGCAACAGAGTTGGTGAAGACCACCAGGTTTGACAGATCTCTACTCAGTTTCATTGTCTTCCTCTTCCTTCCACCCCTACAATGGCCCAGTGACAGAAGACGATTGCAAGACAGGACAGAGGAGAGTGAATGAGAACATGTCAAAATATATGAGACAGGTAAAGTAAAAAGTACACAAGTCAGTCATGTGCATGCAGTCAGTGGCATAATCACACAGATGCACGTTTGCAGGATTGAACTGTGACAGTTCCCGAGGACATGTTTTATTTCTTATAATTAATTTTTAAGTGGAATAGTGTGTTATTTTTTTCTTTCAGAATTCTTCTTTCAAAATTAATACAAAGAGTGATTTTTATGAATCAAATATAACAACTCAATTGATGCTAATAGGGTCATTCAGCATTAGGGGCCCATTAGGAAATCAGAACTGAGTAGCAACAGCCAATCAGGATTCCCTTCTCTGCTGTCAGTTGTATCTCCAGATTGAGGCCCGTCATTCCTTCCCTTACAAACATACATTATTGCTGAAAGCACTTCTGTGTGGCACAGCTGATCCCCTGAATTGTCTAATGCTCCCAGAAACCAGCAACTATTAACCCTCTCAGCTGTCAGACTGTCAGAGGTGTGGTGAAGCAGGTCAAAGGTCACCTGTTGAACTGTCCTCCAGCCTCCCTCCCAGACCTCTCCTGACTGTCCTCCTCCTTGTCCACAGTTTGGCATGACAATCTGGATTTGGAGTGCCTCTGGACAATGGATATGCATACACACAGGAATATATCAACAAACTCAAGTAAAATTGCATTGAAGATTTGCTTACAGGTTAAAAAACAGAAAAGTACTGCTTATCCTTGTCATCAGCTGAAATCCTGATACCCATGTATAGGAGTTTTTTTTACTGGCCAGGGTTTGTTGCTCATGTGTTTTTAGCAAATTGTATGAGTTTCACAGAGGCAGCTGAGTGATTCATAGATTGCTATTGTAGTAGCAGCCAGAGTGTGTCTTTGTGCATGTCAGTGGGTGTTTATGTGTAGCATATGTAATTACAGCGAATGTGCATTTGTTGAAGTGGGTTTTTTTTTCTGAGAAAAACAACATCGATATTAGAGCTAAACTTGAGAGGAGGATAAGGGTTGCAGTAATTACAGGGTTTAGGCTGCTTCCCAACAGATTACATGCACCCATGCATGCACATATATATATATACACACGTGGGAGGATGCATGATATGCAAAGGGGGAGGCATAAAAGAATAAAGAGGACATGTGAGTGTGAGACCAGAAAAAGGAAAGAAGAGGGTAAAGAAAGCAAACAGATAGAGAAAGAATGTGAAAGCGTGAACGAACCAGACTGAGATTGTAGCGACCATGTCTGTGACAAAAACAGCCACATGCACACAATATTGATGCCCAAACCTACATTACGCTGTAAAATAAATGATAAATTCGATCAGTGCCAATTGTATCTCTAAAGAAGACCTGAAGCACTAGAGCACACCCAAATCAATCATACTATAAGCATTTATCTCAGGGCCTACACTTTTAGCAGCCTTCTGAATGACAAATATACAGTATACCATAGTGAGCATCGACAGCAAGAGAGTACATGCTTTAGCTCTGCATGTGTAATTCCCAGATACACATAACACACACACTTACTGCACTGATCTGCTGGGTGGAATTGGAAGATAAGTGTGGTAGTCTTAATTATGAGCTTGCCACCAACCACATACAACGAGGGCTTTGTATCTGCAATGTCTGTGTGGCTTTAAGTAAGTGTGGCTCTGTTCAGTGAGAACTGCAATGTTTTGGTTTTGCTTCATATAAGGAGACATATTGTACAGTGTATTTCTAAATTCTAAACTCAACACACTGTGGCCATTTAAGACACCAATTATAACTAAGTCTTACAGTTGATGTTGATTCAACATTCTGGCCATTTGTGAAGCTATTCTGTGGTGATGCTGTGCTGAATCATATTGTATTGCATTACACTGATGGATAAAATGTAAAGGAAGGTAAGGTAAGGTAAGGGAGGTATGGTAAATTCAATGTTAGAAAGAAGGCTATCCATTGTACACTGAGTGGAAAACTTGACTCTTGGCTTTAAGTCAGTGAATCAGTACGTACTTAATGAACAGGTTCTACATTTTTATGGATATTTAAAGTCATTTATTTGCCAAAAGTCAAATGAGAAGATTGATGTGTTTCTCACATCTGTGAAGTAAATAGTACTAATCAGGACATGGTTATCATAGTGTAGGATAAAAACTGGAAGCAGAGGGAATCAGCTCTGTTCAAAGGTCAAAAAACAAAACAAACCCCCCACCGATCAGTTCTCCTAAAGCTCTCCAACACATTACATCTTTTTGCTTTGATAATATAAAAAACAAAGTGTAAATTTGACAATGCAGTTTTTTTTCTTCTGCATGGAGAGGTCCATCTCAGCACAACCTATGAGATGCAAACAGGAGCACATGGCCCAGCCATCACTGTTATCGGTGTCATTCGCAGAGACAAGGTGCTGATCATTTTGCTGCTCTATCAGTTGTCTTCAAAGAGCTCTGCAGTGTCATCGCTGACCTTTGCTTGTACTTTTTAAAGTGCTTCCAGCACCATTGTGCCAGCAAGTCAGTGAAGACTAGCGCTTCCAGCACCATTGTGCCAGCAAGTCATCTTAATGGCTGTTGACCATGTTAAATAGTCAGTGAAGACTAGCAAATGAATTCTGTCTCACTACCTGTTCAGCCAAGGGGATCAGTGACTTCACCTATTTATTTCAGGTGCACCTGATCACCCAAAGTGCAGAAAACAGCATTGGTTCTTTGAGACCAGTTTGGTGTGTCAAGTAAGCAAAACTAAGAAGAAGTTCGATGCTGTTTAGTAAAGGTGCAGTATGAAGCAAAGAAATATTTAATTAATTTTGCCACCAAAGACCCCACACAAAGATTAGGAATTAATCAGAAAAGAGCAGCCTGTTTTTCCATGGTCCTCACCTTCTGTTTGAGTGTCGTGATGAATGATCTGCTTTGGGATTTCCTCAGAACCCCTTTGGAGCTCTAGAGAAAAGGAGAACACATTCAGGGACTCTTCATGTGTGTGACTGCTTGTTTACATCCATATGTGTGGATCATCTGGTACGAGTCTAATAACTACCACATTAGCACCCACAGTGAGTCACTTAAACCCTAAAGCCCAGTAGTTGGAAGAGCTGCAACTGACATCAGCCAATAAAGCACATACACAGCTGAAGAGCAGAGTGGGTGGGAAATAAGACATTGAAAAAGGCAAATTACAATAAGCAAGACAGAAAGAAAAAAATGAATTTGAGACAGAATGAGGTGGAGGGGATCACCAACGATGCAGGAGTAGAATAAAGAGAATGGGAAACCCTGATACACCCACTACATTAAAATGGCTGTCAGGAAACAGAATCTTCTAAAAATAGCACAAGAGGCAAGCAGGGAAATGAAATATTAAGTAACACTGCAGACATTTTGTTTCTCACCACTTTCTGTCTGTTTTGACACACTTTGCCTGAAACACCATCCACACATGTGGAACAGTGCTGTCGCTTCAGAAGGGCCAGAGATGAGCAGGGAGGTGCTGGTCATTTGTGCATTTTCATCTGTTTGGTGGGTGTAGTTGACTGGTGCAGTAACTAGTCTACTGTAATTTCTCCCTCAGTGACAAAAACCATGGCCTAGTTTTATCTCCCCCCTCTTCTTCTCATTCTCTCCATCTGTTTTAGAGGACTACTCTAAACCATATGCAGTACTACACATTGCCTTGGTGCTGTACCTGCCGCAGGTTCTTTTGAAGGCCCTGGTGTGTAGCTCGGAGCAGAGCTCTGATGCTGAAGCTGTCAGTATCTTCCTTGTCTCCGATTCGGGACTCCTTCAAAAGAGAGTCCAGTTTCTTTCTAATGTGAGACTCCACCTGGTGATGACCATTGCCCTGCATGTGTGAAAGAGGAGGGGAGTCAGTGGAAAACAGAAAGGGAAGGAGAACTAGGCACACAAGACACAAGAAAAACAAACAGGTTGTTTCAAAAAGGTACAGGTACATATTTATGAACAGGAGATTATGGAGAGTTGTGCTGTTTTGGAGCAAGAATACACACTGTCACTGAGGCAAAATACCTGAAACCAAGCCCAACACATGTTAAACAAATGCAGAGCGACAGGAGACCAGTCAGATTTGCAGCTCCAGATTAACCAATTCTTTAACATCTTCAAATTACCCATTTGGTGTTTCACCAACACAAACTCTTCTAGTGTATAATGCACTAGTCACTAGGGGTTACGATAACATTATTCAAAGTTACCTAATACAGTATGCAACAAAACTGAGTACACTCTTGGTCAATGTATAGATAGGATTGTAATGCAGTTAAGTTGGCATCAAAGGTCACATGGGGGGCTCATGTTACCAAGACGGAATAAAGCCTGTGTTTTGAGCAAAGGTAGCTGGCCTCCATTTTCATTTCTCCCAGCTGGAAAAGCTCGGAATTCTAAGGCTAGTTACCGGCTACAAGCCAGGGTTAAAGCAGTTTAGCCATGAAACAGAGGTCCCCAACAACGTTTCAGGGTCACACATCTGGGCAATTAACACCACATTTGAGAAAGTTACAACTAATAAGAGGTTGGATGCTGCAAGAAGTAAAACCAGAATTAACTTTGGTGTGGCTTTTGAACAACGGCTACAACTGAGAGAACAAAAGGGGTTGAAAAGTGGTGCCAAGTCCGTATTTCTGATGACCAGGTAATTATCTGTTTTGTTTTGTTGTTATTTTCCTACAATCTGTAAGCAGTAGTCAAGCAGTGCGCATTGCAGTACACGTTGTGTTTTGGAAAGAAGACAGAACGAAAGGGTGTGATTTCCTCAGCTGTCTACTTTCAAAATCAAGCATCCTCTTTGCTGGTTTTTCTGGGATCACCAGCCCTACCTTTAAGTAATGAAAAATCCTCTTCAATAGATTGTTTTTGTGTTTAGCCAAAGTGCCAGAAGAATGAGGGCTGACTTTAGTGTTTCACTTTAAAAATTAAAGTTATTGTAACACCCCTATATCCAATCAAATATTTGTATCCCCAGGATACAAAAACCAGTTAAGGGTTAATAACCCACTGCAATAATGTTCTTGGACACCATCCGTAGAGGTTGACTTAAGGCAATATCCTTTGCTTTTTCTGCACTGTGACTGAAACACAAATTTCCACACATGATACTTGTGTCACAAAAAGCTTGCCCATCAGCTTCTTAATGCCAGGCACCATTTTTCAAGGATGGCCGCTGCATCTTCTGTTATTGGTTGTATTGCTCTTCCTCTACCTCGTGAACACCGCTGCAACTGTGTTTTAGCCAAAGACCAGTAGCCTATTGAGGATCGTGCTCACACATCTTTATAAAGTCTCACAATTTGGTTTCTCACTTGTTCAGGCAATTCCTTACCACGTGAAGTCATGTTACATTCGACACAGCCCTTGCCAAAGTTGAGAAATTTGCATGTTTGTTTTTTTTTAACAAAAATGAAATTGACCTTAACTAGAAATCACAGATATAATCATTTTTTTTCCATTGATGTTGTACTTTGGGGACCCATTTTTCAATGTAGTCTACCAAATGCTGTTTGTTTTTAGTTATATACTCTATAAGGTCAAATACACTACTAAGAGTCATGTAGCATTTCAGTGATAGTGCACAAGTGTGCACACAGTTTTCTTGTATAATGTAGATGAGACAGGTCTAAAACATAAAACATTAAACTCTACACACACACAAGCAGTGTCCATAATGACTCTCATGTTCAGCCACTACTCCCTTTGTAACAGATACTCAGCACTATATTCTATAGTGAGCTGTTGATTGAGACAAATAAACAACTTAACTGCCACTGCTATTAATATCCTTTACTACAGGTGGCACAGGTTGCACTGGGCTGACAGTGCATTAACACCTCCCACTTGTGGAAAATCCACTGCCTGTTAAATGTGAATGACTAAGCAGATGTAAAGTATACCAGGCTCAGGAGGCATGCTGCATTAAAAAAGAAAGAAAGAAAGACACAGAAAACAAAAACTCAGGGGTGGTGAAAAAATACAGAAATAGTTGTCCCCGTATACACTAAGTCACAGCCCATGTTTTCCTACAGGAAAAAATTCAATGACACTATTAGTGAAATGTTAGTGGTGACTGTTGTGAAAGTATCCTGGTTTAATGAGCTCAATACAAAACCTGTTATCAGTGGAAACCTGCCATCACCCCTTTAAAATGACAATGATGATCCAAAAAGGCATCTGCAGCCTCATGCCTCCAGCTAAATGTGGAAGAATGGTGCCATATTTGGTTACACAACTAAACCATTTGGAAAATGTGCTTTTCTGCTTTAAACCTTGTGAGGAGGACACTAGTACTAGAGCTTGAAATAATAAGTTAACAGGATTCCAAATGACTATAAACAAAATCAAAAAGGGCCTTCGCACTCTGAAAGATGCCTCAACATACATGGCTGATACAGTGCCTTGCGAAAGTATTCGGCCCCCTTGAACTTTGCGGCCTTTTGCCACATTTCAGGCTTCAAACATAAAGATATAAAACTGTAATTTTTTGTGAAGAATCAACAACAAGTGGGACACAATCATGAAGTGGAACGAAATTTATTGGATATTTCAAACTTTTTTAACAAATAAAAAACTGAAAAATTGGGCGTGCAAAATTATTCAGCCCCCTTAAGTTAATACTTTGTAGCGCCACCTTTTGCTGCGATTACAGCTGTAAGTCACTTGGGGTATGTCTCTATCAGTTTTGCACATCGAGAGACGGAAATTTTTGCCCATTCCTCCTTGCAAAACAGCTCGAGCTCAGAGGTCTGTTTAAAGCGCAGAGAGCATCATGAAGAACAAGGAACACACCAGGCAGGTCCGAGATACTGTTGTGGAGAAGTTTAAAGCCGGATTTGGATACAAAAAGATTTCCCAAGCTTTAAACATCCCAAGGAGCACTGTGCAAGCGATAATATTGAAATGGAAGGAGTATCAGACCACTGCAAATCTACCAAGACCTGGCCGTCCCTCTAAACTTTCAGCTCATACAAGGAGAAGACTGATCAGAGATGCAGCCAAGAGGCCCATGATCACTCTGGATGAACTGCAGAGATCTACAGCTGAGGTGGGAGACTCTGTCCATAGGACAACAATCAGTCGTATACTGCACAAATCTGGCCTTTATGGAAGAGTGGCAAGAAGAAAGCCATTTCTTAAAGATATCCATAAAAAGTGTCGTTTAAAGTTTGCCACAAGCCACCTGGGAGACACACCAAACATGTGGAAGAAGGTGCTCTGGTCAGATGAAACCAAAATCGAACTTTTTGGCAACAATGCAAAACGTTATGTTTGGCGTAAAAGCAGCACAGCTCATCACCCTGAACACACCATCCCCATTGTCAAACATGGTGGTGGCAGCATCATGTTTGGGCCTGCTTTTCTTCAGCAGGGACAGGGAAGATGGTTAAAATTGATGGGAAGATGGATGGAGCCAAATACAGGACCATTCTGGAAGGAAACCTGATGGAGTCTGCAAAAGACCTGAGACTGGGATGGAGATTTGTCTTCCAACAAGACAATGATTCAAAACATAAAGCAAAATCTACAATGGAATGGTTCACAACTAAACATATCCAGGTGTTAGAATGGCCAAGTCAAAGTCCAGACCTGAATCCAATCGAGAATCTGTGGAAAGAACTGAAAGCTGCTGTTCACAAACGCTCTCCATCCAACCTCACTGAGCTCGAGCTGTTTTGCAAGGAGGCATGGGCAAAAATTTCAGTCTCTCGATGTGCAAAACTGATAGAGACATACCCCAAGTGACTTACAGCTGTAATCGCAGCAAAAGGTGGCGCTACAAAGTATTAACTTAAGGGGGCTGAATAATTTTGCACGCCCAATTTTTCAGTTTTTTATTTGTTAAAAAAGTTTGAAATATCCAATAAATTTCATTCCACTTCATGATTGTGTCCCACTTGTTGTTGATTCTTCACAAAAAATTACAGTTTTATATCTTTATGTTTGAAGCTGAAATGTGGCAAAAGGTCGCAAAGTTCAAGGGGGCCGAATACTTTCGCAAGGCACTGTAGAAGGTGCTCACCTGACTCGTACTTTGAACAGTAAAGCGCTATAAAAATGGCACAAGACAAGTTCAGGAGCGATCTGCATGAGGAAGTGGCAGCTTGTTGCTGCACTGCTCATCTATTAAAAACAACAAATTTAAAAGTCTGACTTAATAGTTCTACCTGCACCATTAAGCATTGATTATTCCATAACATTACCACAGTGATGATCAATAAAGCTTTACAAACACCAACATTACCACCCAATTACAGAAATCACTACATCGAGCACAACAATGTCATTAAGATCCCATTATATAACTGTCAGTGGCATCTCAAGGGTTTGAGCCTTGCCATTAGTCCCTGCCAGAGTATCTTTTGTGGTAGAATGTTGCTGTCTTATTTTTGGATGAAGTGGTTTGTGTAGCTTTTAAAGAAGTTACAGAGAAGGATGCACAGAGCCACAAAGGAAAGCTGCTCAGGCAGAGAGCCAGAGAGCAGCTGGAGAAAAGGGGTCGGTTCTATCGAGCTGCTTTTATCATTAGTTTTAAAAGGAAAGTATATAAAAGTAAAATGAACTAAATTAAAAGTTCAAAAAGTCATTTCACAATTTATTAATCAAAATGTTGTTTTAATTTGTTTTAGTAACTTAAATGTTTTTAGGTCACACTGTTTTGTTCAGTTTATGATATAGATTAGAAAATATAGAATTATGATATGTAATTGGAATTTTAAAACGTTTTCCAAGACCTTTTCTACTTACTTCATAACTACAAAAGTATATCACTCTACTATGTATGCATTTGTATGAATTTGGGCACAAATGGATGAAAATGTTTAAAACATCAAGTAATATCACTTTCTGTTTGGAGGTGTTCATGCATGTTAATATTTATGTCTGCATTACTCCATCTTACATTACTGCTCTTGAGTTTGAAGTCCTCCTCTATTTCATCAGCACTATCATCATCAGACACCTCCCCTTCCTCAGCGTCCGCAGACAGATAGGCAGGCAGACGTTTCCCCTGGATCGAGAAAAGACACACAGGAACATGAGAGGTGACAAACATGCATTTGATCCATATGTCTTCAATGCAATGCCATCCCTTGTTCATTTCTTTAATACACAACAACGCCCACACAGACTGCACCTCTAAGGCAGCCCATGAATAGCACAGCAGAATTCAGTGTTTCACTCAGATATTCACTTAACTTAAAAACATACAGACGCATATAAAAGAAAGCTCTTTCTTTATGTGGCTCCTTGACCAGTATTTATAGGTAGAGTGAAAGCCAATGAGGGAACAGAACACACACACATAAAATGTGCAATCAGCTGCGGATTCTCTTGAGAAGCTCCCTGAGCAGCTCTTTCAGCAGAGACGAAGCCCATTAGAGAGATTCTCAAGGTGTGAGTGGGAGTTACGATTTTCTAAGGTGCTTCTTCCAAAATCAATGGCAGCCTCTGTGTACATCAAGTCTCTCACTGAGTGACATCCTCAGCCTCACTTCAACCGCTGTCACAACCACTTCTATGTGAGACTGTCAAAAACTCTTACACCAGTTTTCTCTGGTTTTTTTCTCTGTGACTCTGGTCTTTCGCTCTCACATGGGGGGTGATGAGAGGAGGAAGGCTCTCAAACAAGGGCAGAGAAAGGGAGGAAAGAGGTGGAGGAAAACTTAAGCCGGCTCCACACTACAGGATAATTTGCCTCATCTAGGGCCCGATTTGCCCTTCCCACCAATCGTGGGGACATCCCCGACATGAGGCCACTCAGGCATTGAAAGCGAGCTGACCGGGAAGCATCACAACCGGATGTTAACACTAACTTGTAGCATAAGCTTGCACTAGCCTCCTCGTTTGACTAATACAACTATATTTCCAACTCACCTCCAGCTCGTGCTGCAAAATGTGTAAGCCATGTTGATTTCGTCTTCTCGGCCAAGACTTCATCTACAGTTTTTACTCCTCTTTTCTGTCTCTGCGCAAAACATAGCACACACAAGCACTGCTGCTTGACGGCGAATGTCATGTTTGATCACGAGAGTTTCTCTGAGCTCTTAAGATTAAAATGTGAAAAAAATCTGTTAAAGTTGCCAATATGTCTGTGGTCTCTCAGGTTTTTAAAATCAGTTAAGATTATAAAATCCTCTAGTGTGGGCCCAGCCTTAAAGAGGAGTAAAGGCATTTATAGGAAATCAATAATGCTCTTTCTTAGGGGCAAAGCTCATTTCCCTGAAGAGCATGCAGACTTTCTTCACATTACAGATATAGCCAATTTTATCTGATTCTTATAAAAAAAATCCAAAATTTTCTGAAAGCGTTTGCTCATCCACATGTTCTGTCTTTCTCTGTTTTTTTGTATGAATAACTCCTCCTGTCCTGGTTGATAAGGATCTTCTGGGTTTGAGGTTGTGGAAGTGAGAGCTGGTATATCCATAAATAAAAAAAAAAATGTGTATGTTGGGGTTTTCATTCTTTTTGACAATGATCATATCAGCCACGGGTCACAGATCATCAGTTTTTGCAGCACCTACTTTTGCAGTTCCCACAGGCAGGCCGGCTGCTCAGAGATAAGCTTGCAAGGCTAGACATGAGATACTGTACTTTGAGATGTCTAGAATGTAAAGTGTCCTATATCTGTGGAGAGAGAAGCAAACTATGTGTGAGATATTGACTAGTACTTTATTAACAATGTGTGTGATCTTCTAAAGTGTAGTTACAGAATTGTGCTATAATCATGTACTGAATTGTACTTTTGCTGTATTAATGCACTTCTATTGTATGAGCTGTCTGAAATGGTTCAGGCAAAGAATGCAAAGAAGTGTAGTTCTTAAAATGAGGAACTATTTCATTCAGTTGAAGCGACTGATTTAATGAAACCCGCACTGACTTTTGCTAGGAGACAAGCTGTGAATCACTATATTTAACAATTTTTAAGCAAACCTCCACCTAACCATTCACCCCTAAACTTTTGCAGCTCAATAACATCATGAGGAATCCATACATGTTATAATAAAGACAACAGAGTGCATCAGTCTGCAATCCAGTACCTTCAGAGTACCTTTAAGTTTGTGTGCAGGACTGCTTGAGGACTGAGTATTTGTGCTAAGTTTAATGTCCTCATTTTAAGTTAATTAAAAACAGTATGATTTAGGAATAATCATTTTATGAAAAATATAACGTATTTGTATTGCAGTCTGTTTTGTGGTAAATTATTGATTATCAAGTTTAGCCTTATAGGTTAATCTGGCATTTGGAGGATATAGGATTCATTGTGATTCTGCATAATTACAAAATATTATGACTAATAGCATTTTAAAATGCTCTAACTGAGCAGCAATGAAGGTTGTATCTGCTTATTGCTTATTGCATGTAAACGCTTGTTTGTATATTGTATTTCATAACAATAAAAACTGTCAGTCTGTCATCATTTTGCCACCCTCTCGTCCTCCACTCCTTTCCCTGTTGATTAATACAATGATCTCACTTCCTCCTCTTGCTCCTTGGCTGTTTATGGGCAATAATTAGTTGCCTCTCTCTGCCTTTCTCGGTACAGCAACACACGTGAAGTAAAACACAGAGAGATAATAAGTGCTCTGCTATGATCCACATGTTCACTGTCTGACCAGGAATATTTTAATCTGGCAATGTATTTACTCATTTAAAACCACACATTTTCAATTCATCCAGCAATTTGTTCTTACTTTGATGAGTATCTTGCCCTGCAGGCTGTGAGGACTGGGTAATGTTGTGGAGTCTCTGCTCAGTGCTTCTCCCACATCCAGTTTGTCCCCGAAGATTTCCCGCAGGTACTGAGCAATCTTCTTCTGCTGCTGGATGTTACAGTGGTTCTCTATAGACAGAATTACTGGGTACCTACAAAAAAAAAAAAAAAAAAATTCACAAGATACATACTGCATACTTGTGCAAAAACTACACAAAACCTGTCGACATGCTGAACGTTCTTGAATGCAGTCAACTGACTTAAGTGAGACTGATTTGTTGCCATGCACGCAAATCACATTTCACTTCTCACTACCAACCAAGTGAACAGAGAAGAGGTGACTGATAAAAATACACCTCCACAGTGTGGTGTGTGTGTGGTCTATGTTTTCATTTAGAAAAAGTGTAAGGACTCGTGGCCACGCAGCAGCACAGCTCAAATGTCAGGTTTGTCAGACTGACAGCTGGCCCTCGGGGGAGGCAGGCTCCGCTCTCACCTCCAACTCAGGTCCCCACATGCTCACACTCACATACACGCACACACACAACAAGCGATCTGCCAAAGACAAAACGAGACAACAGGAAGAGCAACAGCTAGAGTCACAGTCACACATCCTCACAGTCAAACAGTTAGGCAGTTCAATGAGCTGTGTAATGTGTGTGTGTGATGTGGGAAACCAGAGACTCACTCCATTTCAATACAGCCCAGGAGCCATTAATCATGTTAACAGGTGGCACTGATGATAAAATATCAGTGGAATAAAAGAGAGACAGATAAAGCTCAGGATGTCTGATTTATTCATTTATTCTTGTTGTCAGCATAATTACAGGTGACTAATTAATAATGTATGAGTTTATTAGAATATGTAAGTATTTCCTAATCAGCAAGTTTTTCTTTAGTGATAGTGAACATACAGTGTTCAGTTTAGTTCACACATAAACACGAGTTATTTTGACGCGACCCTCAGAAATACAACTTTATTGACTAAAATTGTTTTTGAAAAGCAGTGCTCAAAAATCTGCAAAATGGTTATACCTGTAGTAAGGCTATTCAGCTCATCACCGATTACTCTGTCAACTATTTCCTGCAAATAATTGATCATTTAGTCTATAAATTGGAAATTGCTTGTTTTGTTTGACCGACTAAAAACTACTCTAAAATCTAAAGATATTCAGTTTAATATATGACAGAGAAGAGCAGCATAATGAAAAATTTTCTTGAAGTTACTTTTACACTTTCAATTACTGATTATTTTTCTGTGATGAACGTATTAATTTGTTGATTGTTTCAGCTCTAAGCTGTAGCAAACTTAAGTCAGAAGCCTCAGAGCTAAATAAAGTATTAAGTAGTGAGAAGAAGGTTTGGGTTTGGAGAGTCGTTCATCCATTTGATAAAAAAACTGGTCACATCACCTAGGGCAACAATAAATACAAATGGAATCATGTCACAAAGTTTCACTTTACAGCAGGGTACCAGACAAGGATGCCCACTCTTACCATCTCTATTCGCCATTTTCATCGAGGCTCTAGCAGCAGCGATATGAACAATAAAATTAAAGGAATACAAGATACTTACTCAGAACATAAAATTAGCCTTTATGCAGATGATTTATTATATTTACAGGACCCCTACAACTCAGTACAGGAAACGTTACACATTATTAAAACATTTTCTAAGATCTCAAACTACACAATAAACTGGAATAAATCCACCATACTACCACTTTCTGAGGATGCCTGGGATTCTGCAGCTTGTTCAAGACTCCTCCCCCCAGTTCTGCACAGGCAACATTAAATATCTTGGTATTAATATCTCCCCCAGGCTGTCAGAACTTTTTAACCTCAACTACACCCCTCTGCTAAAAAAGATAGAAGATGATTTCAAACGCTGGTCCAATCTTCCTCTCTCACTCATCGGTTGAATAGCTACTGTCAAAATGAAAACTCTACCTTAAATCACTTGTGGTACTTGCATGGGCACTTGAACCATTTTTCCTCGTCATCAACTTACCAAAATAAATATGGACACACTCATATAACTCAGTTGCAGACCTCCCTTTTCTACCAAACTCTACTAAGAAAATGAATTACTGTAAGAACATCACAATCCTCTCAACTCTGACAGCCTGGTGGAAAGCAAACAAAATCACTAAATCATCACTTGTACCATGTAGATACACTCCAATTTGGCACAACCCTGATTTCCAACTGCATAATAACTCTATCTATTTCCCAGCATGGCAACACAAAGGAATCACTCACTTACATCACCTATTTGAAAATAACCAGTTCATATCATTTAATACACTGATCCAGAAGTACGGAGTTCAGAGAGAACAGTTCCTCCAGTACAATCAGCTAAAATCCATAATTAAGTCAAAGATTAGTGTAACCAATAACCCACTACAACCCTCCAAATTAATTGACGAGATTATGAAAATTACAGATTCCAACAAAATAATATCCAAGCTATATAAACTCATATCAAATACAGACTCAACAATAACAATACCAAAACTCAAATGGGAAAACAATTTAACTCTCTCACTCAGCTACGAATTCTGGACAGAAACTTGCAATAACATCTTTTCTATGACCAGCAATGTAAACTTACAACTTATACAATACAAGACCATCTATAGGACCCATATTACACAAAGTAACATGTTCAAAATGGGTTTCACTGACACAGACATCTGCTCACAATGCAATCTAGGTTGCACCGACAGTTACTTTCATGCTACTTGGACCTGCCAACCAGTTTATTCCCTCTGGACACGTAGCAGTGACAGAGAAACTCTCCACCATCTTGGGCTGTAGAATCCCTCCTTCTCCATCACTTTGCTTAGTAATATCACAGATGTTGACCACCTACCAATTAAATACAAAAGCCCACTCCTCATTTCTCTAGCTATTGCCAAGAAAACAATCTTTCAAAACTGGAAATCCAAATAAATCACTACACATAAACCACTGGACCAACCTTCTGATAGAATACATCACACTATAAAAAATGGCATCTACTCACAAGAATAGTTTATCAGCTTTTTATGGCACATGGAACCATTTTAACACATTTCAACCTGAACCAAACACCTGGGGCTGAGTCCACGCACATTCCCACCGATCTCTAGCTGATTTTATTAGTAATGCTCATCATTATTGTTGTGGTGATTTTTCTCACCTTCTCACTTCCTTGCCCTTCACAGACTGCATAAGTTGGAAATACACACACTTCACAGCCTCACACACCATGATCTTGTAAAACACTTTACATCTTTTTGTAATGTCATGTATCCGTTGTCTTGTCTCCCATGTAGGACTTGTTTTGTTAATATATTACTTTGTTTAAAAAAAAAATTAATAAAAACATTTAAAGAAAGTAGTGAGAAAAAACCAAGACAGTAAAGTGATTTAGTTTGATTGTTTATGTCTGACCAACTGTGATTTTTGTCTTTATTTTGCTTTCATTTTACTGCATGCTATTCTGTTTTGCTCTGAGATTGATTCTGGATTTAGGCTCTGTGCCTACAACATCTGTTGCTTTATGTCCATGCAGTATCAATAAATTCAAAATAAAAGTCTGACAAAAGTTTTTATTAGCTTCTTTCACTGCTTATTAAATTTGTCAACCATAGGCTACTGCAAATGGAGTAGTTTGACATTTTGTTAAGTATCTTTACAATATTTGCTTCCTTGACAACAATTATATTAGAAAATTCATACCACTCCTTGTGCCTGTGAAATAAACAAGGAGCTGCAGGCGGGTGATGTTATATTAACTTAGCATTAGAAGTAGTAATGGGGCAGGCTGCTAGATTAAGTCTATCCAGAGGTAACAAAATCAATCAGAACCTCTAAAACTCACCGTTTAACATGTTCTACCTGCTCTGTTTAACCCAAGTTTAGCTAAGCAGCTGCTGACTCTGGCGTGATATTTTATGGGCAGATACATGAGAGTCGTACAGTATAGATTTCATCTAACTCTCAGCAAAGAAGGTGAAAAAGTGTATTTCCACAAATGCAGAACGTTTGGTCCTTCATACTAAAAACATCTTTAGATTATATGCAGCAATGCCTCAAAACTGACAGAGTGGAGGACTTGAAGTTTAGTCTAGAACTACAGAATAAGTTCCATGAACAACCTTGATCTGATGTTAGTGAAATTCCAACAAGCCAGGGCTTTTTATTTTTTTAATTAAAAAAACGGAATCTTCTCCAATAGTGTACCTTTGAATAAAACCTGTGGTTTTATAACACAGTCACTGCCATCCTATATATTTGCAATAGATGTCAAAATGAGCCAAAGAGGCAGCAGGAAGCCTCATCATTCACCGCTTTTTCTGGGTATTGTTGGACCCAGCAGAGACAAACAGTGGCTCCTCAGGGAGCCAGAGGAAATGCTGCTAAGCAGATGGCTCAGTAATAGGTGCTAATTACTGCCAAGAATCACAGTGTTCTCTGAAAAACACCAACCTGGCTGTCTAAACGTTGCAACTTTGTTGTTAAACCAGTGGGGAAACCTTCCATCAGATTCATACGTTTCATTATACCAGTGTGAGAAATGCTAGTTTGAGACTAGTTTAATGAGGGAAAATATATTAGATTAGCAGCTTTTTAAATCCGGGTGGAGCTGTTCTATTATGAGTGGGTTGATGCTATTACAGTACATCTTATAGAAGCACACTGCATTCACAAAACTAAAAAAATGAAGATTTTAATCTTTAATTTTTTCCTAATTATAAGATCTGGATATTATGATCTCATAAAAGGCTGTAGTGGTTATCATTCATTACTATTTGCAATGACAGATGCACTGAGGGCTATCTGATTAAACTGTAGGTGATCATACAATGAATACAAGCTGGAATATCATTTTGTGGTGGGATTTTATTTTTTTCAATATAGTATTTTGGAAGATAGCTCAGTAAATGTTTAAACTTTTATAATTATGAAATAAAGGTGTTGCCTTTATTTTTTTCTTTTGTGAATGCAATATGCTTCTGTAATACCTAATGCCATAGTGGACCATTAAGCAACACAATGAAACAATAAAGGACGTTATCCATCCATACGTTATCTATATCGCTTATCCTAATGAGGGCATTATAATGTGCACATATTAGTCCTGAAGCAAAGACTATTATCTGTGCTACAGAATGTCAACCAGAAATGATTCAGTCAGATTTATATGTGTGTGTGTAAACTGAAGGAGAAGTAACAGTCACCACAGAGTGTGACACTCATGTGCAGTCCCACGTTCATATACTGTGCTACTGAGAGCTTCAACTCACGGGTTATTTACAAAGGCATATTTATTGATGGCCTCTATGACAGACTTGAACGGTATCTTGGAGGTCAAAGTGTAGCCGTGCTGGACCATTGGCTCTCCATCAGGACCATCCCAACAGTCCACTGTAGGAACACAGAGGAAATGATGTATGATTATGAAAAGCATTTATCTCTTCCTCTCCAGAAAATCTACCACAGCTACTGTTCTCAGCTGCCGTCTCTCCTCACTGTTCACTGCTCCTCTTACAATAAAGAGAAGAGTGTGTATTTCCTTTGGACAGCTCTTATCCTCAGCCCTGTTGGGTTCAGATTCAAAATACCAGACACAAACAGCAAAACGCATCTTTATGAAATTTAGCCAAGATTCGTTTTATTATTTACACCTGTGCTTCTCCTGCTGTGACATCATAATGCTCGAGTCTTGCCTGGTGTTTAAATGTAAACTCATGCTTACCTTCTACACAGCGGCAGCCGGATTGCAGCACCCAGGCATACATGTCAGTCTTGGAGTGGGAGAGAAGCTGGTCCCCAGTCAAGTAAGTATTATGAGAGGAGGCAATGAAGTAGTTACACAGAGGCTGCTCCATGTCTTGATTCACCTCATGATGCAAAGGGTTGAAAATGTCACATGTCGGACTGCGCATGAAACTTGTAAAAGCTGAAGAAAAATAGAAACGTATGAAACAGGCATCAGCAGACTGCAAAATTTAGCTTCATTTCAATCTGTTATAACAACTGATTTTACTCATGCTAGTGGCACTGCACTATGAACGGCAACATCTCTGGCACTATGAACGGCAACATCTCTAGGTCTGGCTGTCTGTTGATAAACTGTCAACTGCTAATCGATGAATTTCCATGAAATTCTGTACAGACCTTCATTATTCCCAGACGATGAATCTTAATGACTTTGTTGCTTTTTTTTCCCCGACAATTCTTCAAGAGCCATGATGAGGTTGATATGTTGCGTTCTAAGTGAAATGTCTCAACAACTACTGGATAGATTGCCATGAAATTTGGCTCAACATGTCATGATGCCCAGATGATCAATTCTAATGACCACAGTGATCTTGTGACTCTTTACCTAGCACCAGCAGCAGTAAAGGTTTTTACAGATCTTCCCAAATATCTCCTGATTTACTAGGTGGATTGTCACAATTGGCACATGGAAAATATTATACCTGTGAATGTGGGTATGCTAATGTTAGCATTAGCTAAAAGCACAACTGTGTACTGTCTGTGTAGTCTTGCTAACTACAGTAACCGATATTTAAGTCAAGAAGTCAGTTGCTGAGGTCGCGGTGAAACACGGCAGAGTACTTTAAATGTTGCTTGCAAAGCACTGATTCTGTATCCGTCCTGTATCTGATTTACAGCTGCTGCCTATTTTTCAATATTCTGAAAGAAAAGTGGACACCATAACACTAAACATGATCTACCAGCTACCAGATCATACCATGCACTTTCTAACAACTTCTAACAGTGACATCAACAATATCTCTTCATCAGCAGGTATCAACCTGATTTACTAGGTGGACTGTCACAATTGATATCTCTTCATCAGCAGGTTGATACCTGCTGATGAAGTTGATATCAGAGTTATCATTTTCCTGGAGATCACTCCAGGAAAATGATGAGACTCTTAACAATTATAATGAGATTACAGTGCAAGTGCTATGGGTTCAAACCAGGGTGGTGATGTCTAAAACCATTTCGCCAGTAGGTATACTGCACACAGCCAGCTTTTTCAGGAGTGAGAGGGAAGAAAGCATCCTTTCATCCAGAGAGGACTGATAAAATGAGACAGGAATGCTAAGAGCAAGAGAAATAAGAGAGAACGCAGCTGAGGACAAAGAAGGAGACAGTTTAATATAAAAGCAGACTGCGGAGGACAAATGAAAAAATGGAATGTATTAGAAAATAGGAAATATTTTTACAATGGAAAGTCTGTGATCAGACTGAACGTGCAGTCATCATGGTACCATCACAGCTAAATCCTGATTCAGCAGTACGCTGCGTGACATGAACACCTGTATATGAACTGTGATCTGTAACAGCTCATCACACTGTAAAATCTGATTGTACATTTGTTACAACACACACATTTCTGGCCTGCAGGGAGGGCATCAAGGATACTGGTCCAATCAGCCAGACACACACAATGCTAGCCTTCATGCCTCAAATGATTGGTCTCACCCTCCTCCTCCTCCTCCTCCTATCTCCTCTCCTCATAGTCACTGTCATTCCTGTCACACTCTCATTTTCTCTTTCCCCTCGCCTTCATTCTGACTTCCCAGTTTTCTCACTCTACCTCCTTGATCCTCACTCCTTCTTCTCCCTTGAGCTCATCCTTCAGTTACTTGTGGCCTTACTTAAAATGACACTCAGAGATGAACATTTGCCAAAGACAACCTATTGATTTGGATTTGAGAGGAGTGTACTGTAAATACCATGACGTCAGCCTTTATGATATTGTTTCAAAACACTTAATATTCTGGAGATGTACAGTATTTAGACTTCAAAGATGTGAACGAGGACGATGAAATGGGAGAAAGTTACCTTCAATCCCCATAACGCCTCCTTGTTTATTCTCTTCAGACACCTCAAACTTGTCAATGATTTCTGCAACATACTCTGGAGTCACACTGGCAATCTGCAGAGAAAAATGATGAACAAAATAAACATAAGAACCTTTTTCAGAGCCTCTGAATCCCAGTCGAAATGCTAAATGAGTCAGATTGATTTCTCGTGTTCATTTGTGTTGCTATTAAATTAATTTCCAGCCATGTCAAACAAGCAGCTCAGTCAGAAAACAGCATTAATGCAGAACACCGCAGGCTGGAGATGATAAATACAGCATAATGAAAAATGACACCACTGCAGTGTAAGACAGAAAAGAGTGTGTCAAAAGCCTTGAAAGAAGAAAAAAAAAACAAAGACAAACTGTATAAACACTAGAAAAGGGCTCCCATGAGACAAACCAATTTTAGGCATGATAGATTAGCTTAGTGGAGCAGATTCCTCCAGGCAAACAGCTGAGACAAAGGGAGTTACAAGTTACACTAAGGAGGCGATGAAGAGGAATATAATCCCTCTCCTTCCATAGCTGGCTTGTCAGCATTACATTGGCTCTAACTGTAGACATGCCTGACCTCTCACCTTCTGCTCAGTGTGCAGGAAGTTGGCCAGCTCCTCCGCTGTCAGGTGGTCCTTCCTCTCGCTGTACGCCATCATCAGCAAGAACAGGTCCCGTCTCAGAGACATCATCTTGTAGAAGACTAGGAACTCCTCGTATGTCAGCGTGCCCTGCTGATCGTCCGTGTCTGCTTCCTGTGAGGGTTGGGATGTGACAGGTCATTGGTGACACGAAATATGCCTTTTTAAACATACATACAACCCATAAACTGTTGTTTTTACTAAGGAACCCAAAAATGCGATTAATAAAGGTATGATGTAAAACCTTCTTGTCAATGATGGTAGTAAACATAAATAAGCTGTACATAAATTGTGGAATAGTCTTCCGCTTGAGAGTCGATCTGTTTCTAACCTGGCTGTCTCTCACTCTCTGCATTTCCTTTTTTTGTAACTTTAAATTTACAAAATAGGTGTTTAAATGTAAACTGTAAATTAGTGTGTATTATAGATATAATATAACAATGTAGTGCATGTGAATCACAAACAAGGAGTAAATATATCGTAGCTCTCTTCTGTTGTCGTGCCCGGGGCTATGGACCTATACTGTAAGTTTTATGTTGTGTGTGTTCCTGCATTGTTCATGATGTTATTGTATTTTACAGTGCTTCTGCAATTCATTCATCATTACACAATTAGTCACACAAGTAAATATGGTTAAACTGCATGTTCAGTCGATGCTACTACTTCACAGTGTGAATGCAAGGATGAGTTTAATGTTGTGTGTTGCTTCTGTTAAAACTGCTGGTCAACGTGACATTTTGGATTTCCTGAGTATTCCCCTGACTGAGTACATAAAAATGCAGCCTTTGCAATATTTACAATGTATTGCACTGCAGCCTGATATAATGTAGCCTGATTCCAGACCTCTGAATTGCTCTACACATTTCAGATTTCTTCAGCAATACAAATTGGTCTGGTTATGGATGCATCTCAAGTCTTTTATACATCCATGTTTCCCTCACTTGCGTCTTTTCCTTGTATCTTAGTCCCGCCCACATAAATGCGAGGAGAAGAGGTGAGGAAAAAATGTCAAGAAAGACGAAACAAGTTTTTTGGGACATGAGAACTCTTTTCCTCTGATTCTTCATCTCAAGTGTCTAATAACCAACAGATTTCTGCTAAAGGGGCCTGTTGGTTCATAAAAAACTTCCTCAAAGGATGGTCTTGTGTATCACTCATGGCTCCTCCGGGAAGCCTCCTTGCTCTCCGCTCCTCAGAGGAGATGAATGAACCTTGGGACATCCTTGATCCTCATTCGACCGGAACAACTTTCAAGTCGAGTGAGGAACAATCACATAAGAGAGTTGATGTACCCATTGTTCCCACAGACAACTGCTTCGCCTGGCTGCAGAAACAGCTGACCAATCAGAGCTTAGTAGGTGGAATTAAGAGAGGAGGCATCATACTCTCAGATAGGTAGCCATCTACCTTGGCATATTCAGGGAATAAAAACAACAGAAATATGGAAAGAAGTGTGAATAAGATAGATGCAGATGTACAAGTAGCTGTAACTCAACTTATGGAAAAAAGCACAGTTGAATTAAAATACTGTATTATTGAGAAATGTAAGAAAAACACATTTATAGTGAACTACTGCTACTGACTGGTTACAGCAAAACAAAAGTAAATAACCTCCCCTCCTACCAGGAAATCAGAGCTGCTGTGTGAACACAAAGTCAGGCTGAATGAGTCAAGTGAAGCAGAATTTTAATTCAGTCTGACTGTTAGGCTATAACATCAATATTTACTCCAAGTGATAAGCCGGTCTCAGCTCTGCCAATACACCCATCCATGCACATGGTCCAAAAATAGAAAACAGGCTGTGCACAGGGGAACAGCTGTGCAGATGTGCAGCTGCAAACTCTCATCTCAGTTTTTTTTAGCTCTACGTTTCTCTCCATTTCACACTGATACGAACACAAATTCACACCAGCAAGCACAAATAATATACCAGTCTTTGTGACACAAACACATAACCTCTCCAAATTATTTTTCTTTCTCTAACCTCATATTTGCCTCTGTTGCCCAAAGAGCATGGCTCACTGCGCATTCTATCCTGCCACCTCGCTGTGCCGGCTCGCTGGGGTCCAGTGCCTCATAATACCTGGATCTCATGAGGGCCCATTTGACTCCACACCTAATCTAATAATGCCAGATAATACCTCCATCACACTTCCATAACAAGCGAGCTGTGTGCACTGGGGACTTGATGACAGACAGAATCTACACACAACCAGCCGCTTAAAATCACTGTGGTGAGCTTCATCGGAAAGCCATGACCATGAAACAAATAGATTTAGGGCATTTAGTAATACTGCTGTCTACCAATGCTTAAATGGAAAAAGATAAATTGATAGAATTTTTATCTAATCTAAACTCACAGAATTAAATTACAGTTTAGCCCA